CCCCCCCCCCGGCGCCGCCGCTTCCCCCACCCTCTTCCACACCCCACTTGCAGTCAGCCTCCAGCAAGATCCTAATTTACCTCGATTTATTTTAATCTGCAGGAACAGATGCTCACTGCCCACCCCACACTGAGGCAGGGACCACCCCCAAGTTCACTGCTTCAGGCCCTCCCAGGCCTGGCCTGGCCAATCCCTGCCAGGCAAGGGACCCCACATTGACCCCCTCCCCAGAATTTCAATTTGGGGTCCCTGCAGAGTATGCCAGTGAAACGTCCCCACCCCATCCTTATGTAAAGGACTGGGATAGTACAGACTAGAGGGAGTACCAGGGGACCCCCAGTTCCTCCACCAAGCATGGATTGGGGTACACAGTGGAGAAAAAGGGAAGGGGGTTCTTCCTCTCTGTCCCAAGGGTCTGCAGGCCTGAGCTGGGAAGAGGGAAACCGGGGGTGGTCTCCACTTGGGCTGTCCTGGGTTCCAGGTTGGAAGAGGAGCTGCGCCCCCATCTTTGCAACCCGGGAACCTAGACCCACATCCAGGCTTAGAATAAAGGGATTTGGGGAGGGGTCTGGCGTCACAGCCGTTCCCCTGCACGGTCTGGTTCTAGGCCAGGAGACTAGGGACCTAGAGAGGGGTGCCTATCTCCCTTCGCTGACTCTCGATTATCACTGTAGGGAGGCCGGGTGCCCACCGCGCAGCCTCCCACCCCCGGTCTCTGTCCCGCACGCCCCGCCTCGCCTTTGCACCCCATGGCCGCGGGGGCTGACCGGTGTGGTGTGCATGGGGGCGCTGCGCGGGCCTGGGGCCTCGGGGGGGTTCCCCGGGACAGCACTCACCTCCCAAGCTCAGACCGAGCCCCGCGCTCGCCTCCACCTGCGGCTTGGTCTCTGACACCCGAGCCCGCCCCGCCCCTGCTCTCCCTCCCTCCCTCTCTCCGCGGCTGCGGCGCCGCCGCCGGGGTGGCCCCGCCCAGGGGCGTGTCCTAGAGAGTCCCCGCCCCCAGCGACGGGTCCCGGAGGCAGAGGCGGGATCTAAGTCCGCGCGGCCCGCCATTGAGCCAATTAGGCGCCCTCTGCCAGCCCCGCTCTCTGATTGGCTGAACCGGAGACGCGGCTGGCTCCTCTCCTCCCCAGCCCCACCACCCCCGCCTCCATGGCCCGCAGTTCATTTGCATAAATTTAAGCCACAGCTGCCTCTCCTGAGATGCCGTGCGAGCGGGAAAGGGTGACCAGTTTATTAAGCGCCCAGGCACTTGTGAGCAGGACAGTATTGATACTCATTTTACAGATGAGGAAACTGAGGCCCAGAGAAGGCAAGGACTTGCCTGGAGGCCGCACAGCATATCAGCTGCCTAGGGTCTGGCCCCAGAGCTGGGAAGAGCCATCTGCAAGATGATGTCATGTCAGAAATAGAAAAGGTTCCCGTCTGCCTCACTTGGGCCCTCATAAGATGAGTCTGACACAATACTTTCCAGTCCCCCATTCAGCCTCCCACTGGGACACTCGGCAGGTCTCCTTGCCCCAGCCTCCCTGACTCAGTAAGGGCAGCTCAGGGGTGTGGACCAGAAGTATGGGAGTCCCTGAGAATCTTCTTCCCTTCATCATCCATATTGGTCCTGCTGGTCCTGAATCACCCCTATTTGCCCATCTTCCTGTGCCCCCTCAGTGGCCTGGTCCAGGCTTTGTCATCCCCAGCCCATATGCTCCTCAGCCGCCTACTTGGGTCTCGTTCCTTCCACTGACTGTCCAGTCCCCATTCCCCATGGCAATTACAGCTTATATATATATATATATATATACACACACACACACACACACTTATTTTAGAGCAGTTTTCAATTTACAAAATTACTGTAGAGTTCCTGTGTATCCTACACCCAGTTTCCCTGTCATTAACATCTTACATTAACATGGTACATTTGTCATAATTAGTGAACCAGTGTTGAGATAATTACCATTAACCAAGGCCCATAGTTGATGCAGATTTCCTCAGTTTCCCCTAATACCCTTTTTCCATCCCTGCATTTCATGTGACATTTGTTGACAGTCTCCTTTGGCGTCTCTGGGCTGAGACGGTTTCTTGGATTTTCTTGATTTGGATGACCTTGCGGTTTTGAAGCGGACTGGTCAGGGGTTTGTAGGACGACCTGCAGGTGGGATTTGGTGTTTTTCTCATGGTTGGACTGGGCTGGGGGGATTGGGGAGAGGCCACAGAGGTAAAGCGTCCTCATCACACTGCGTCCAGGGCACATGCCATCAGTGTGACTTTTCGCTGTGATGTAGAATATGGCTGAGGTAACGGCTGTCCGTTGTCGCACTGTAAAGTCTCCCTCTTCCCCCATTTCTTGCTGTGCCCTTTGGCAGGAAGTCAGCATGCACAGCCCACACCTGAGGGGTGGGGAGTCTGCTCCCTCTCCCCCAGAGCAGAGCATCTGTACAAATTATTGGGGATTCTTCTGACAAAGAGATTTGTCTTTTCTCCCTCATTTATTTATCTATTCAATCATTCATGTCAGTGTGGACCCATGCGTATTTATTTTACACGTTGGCTTATAACCTAATACTACTTTGTTGATTTTCTTACTCAAATTGTTTCCAGCTTTGGCTGCTGGAAGCTCAGTCAGTTGACTCTCACGTCCCTTTGACACGCCTCTATCACCTCTTGTTTTTTTCTTTTAACACTTGCTTACTCTGCCACTACAAAATGCTGCAAGCTCATCTCGTATATTTCCCGCCCCAGTCCTAGAATCCGCCTTTTTTCCAAGTGCCTTTCTTTGGAGAATGCAGTAGCTACCGCCTTACTCATGGTTTTGCTTTCTAGGATTTCAGTTACCTGCAGTCAGCTGGTCTAGAAGCAGATGATCCTCCTTCTGACAAGGTCAGAAGGTCAATAGCAGCCTCATGCTAGGTCTCAATGCCTATGTCATCCACCTCACTACATCTCCTCACATTTTATCATTTCACAAGATCACAAGAAGAAGGGTAGGTGCAGTACAGTATTTAGAGAGAATCCACATTTACATAACTTCCATTACAGTGCATTGTTAGAACTGTTCTTTTATTATTAGTTATTGTTAATTTCTTACTGTGTCTACTTATAAACTAAACCTTACCATAGTGATGTACATATAGGTGAAGACAGTATATACAGGGTTTGGTACTACCCCGGTTTCAGGCATGCACTGGGGGTCTGGGGCTGTATCCTCCGCAGATAAGGTGGGACAATTATACTATCAGGAACCAGGATCTGGGCAGGAGGGGTGCTGGTTGCAAATGGGGTGTCATTGTTGCTACTAGGCTCTCAGCTGCCAGAGAAAGGACATAAATGTGGGTATACCAATAGTGTATATACACAGATCTGTAAATATTTCCCTTTTTAACTGTCTGTATCTGTATTAAGTCATATATGAGTTCCTGCAGGTGTCTCCACATCCAATCCATTACCTAGTGGATCATTCTAGCCTCCTTCCCTTGCCCGTCTGGAACCTCCCAGCTCCAACAGTGAGAAACAGTTTCTATCTTCCACTTGCTAAAGAACTGTTCCATTCCAGGGCAAGGTATGGCAGCTTCAGGATGCAAACATATCCACTGGGAGTGGAGGGGTGGTGGGGAGGGGAGGCTTGGGTCGCCTTCCTCTTCAGAGCTGAGACCACCACACTCCACCTGGTAGTTCAATCCCCTCCCGCCACAGGCTGGGAGCTCTGTGGGGGCCCTGGTACCACCCACACCAGCCAGGTGAGGTCTGAGCTGCAGATGTATTGCCTATTCACGCCTCCCCGAAGCCTGGGCCAGAGTCCGGGTGGGTAAGGGGAATAATCTTGTTTTACAGGTGAGGGCACGAAGCCTCGAGGCTGAGAGGCTACTTTCTGAAGTTATACAGCAAAGACATGTTAGAGGCAGGACTTGACCCAGGTGTGCTGGTGTCAAAGCTCCCTCTGGCCCTGACGTTGGATCCCAAAGATGCTGTGGGGCTGGGAGGACAGGATGCAGAGCAGACCGTCTTGGATTGGGGAAGGAGATTTGGGGGTCCAGTGGCTGCAAGTACAGCCCCAGGCCTCCTGGAGGTTAAGGCCAATTTTCTCATTTCCAAGATTGGGTGGTGGAGGCAGATAGATTAAGTAACATTCTCAAGGTTACCCAGCTGTGCTGCCTCGCTGAGACACAAACCAACATTTCCTGAGTACCTGCCGTGTGCCCGGTGGGCAGACACATACTGGGTGCAGGCAGGTGGGGACCGTGTCCTGTCCTGGTAACAGCCCAGGCTACAGACCAAGAAATACAAGAGGATGACTTGCTGGTGGACCAGGCGGCATTTTAAAAGCAGTGAGTCAGGAAGAGTCAGAGGACAGGGCTGGGTGGGTTGGGGTTACAGAGAAAGAGCCGGGAGGACTTCCTGGGGATGGCACCCTAACAGGTGGGGCTTGGAAGATGAAAGGTTTTTGTGCTGCTCTTCCTGGAAGAAACCATCCTGCCTCCCCCATCACGGTCTCCTACGGGCTCACATATTCCCAGAAAAGTGCCCCCACCCCACCTGCCCCCTGTCCTGAACCTCTCCCAACTCCACATGCCAAACCTGGGTTGCTCCTGGCCTCCCCTACCCCAAGGCCCCAGTTCCTTGAAAGAGGAGTCCCAGGGTGTCCAGGCAGCTGTAGGGCCCCCCTGTCTGCAACCTCCCTTTGTTCTGGGAGCTACAATATTACCAGTCTCCTCTCAGTTCCTCTAGAAGAGCAAACCCTGCCTACTCTCTCCCTCTTCCAAGCTGGCTTAATCCTTTGCATCCTGAGGCTTTCCCTCATCCGCAGGCGCGTGGAGGGCCTTCATGGACCGTTGTCTCCTCCTCCGGGTCTGCTCCCCCACTTGACACTGTTTGCCCTGGAGGGCAGTACACAGAATGTACTGCTTGGTGAATGACTGACAGTGGCATTTCAGGGAGAAGACGCCGCAGGTTAAGGCTTGGAGGTGCGATCTGGATGTTGAAGCAACACCTGTACCGGAGGGGGGTTGTGGCTCAGGCTCCGGGTATCAGGCATGAACAGGCGGCGCAGAGAGTGGGTGCCCCAGCCAAGGTTGCATGTCCAGCTCCTGCCCGGCGCTTCAGGGCCCCCAGGTGCTTCCGCTGCTGCAGGAGGTATTTTTAGTGCATGCTCTGGCAGAGGCTGGGTCAGACAGCTGTCAGGAGGGACTGGGGGAGGAAGACAGAGGGGAAAGAGGGACAGAGGGGAAGGGGCAGGAGTGCGGGTGAGGAGGCACCAGGGGAGACTCCAGGCCCCAAACTATCTCAGCATGCTGGTGGGAAAGTCAGAGTAATGCCCGAGACGAGGAGTTGTCAAACCACAGCCCAAAGGCCAAACTGGGCCCATGGCCTCTTTATGTAAATAAAGTTTTATTGGAATGTAGCCATGTCCATTTGTTCAGCTACAACAGGCAACTTGAGTGGCCTGAGCAGACTGTATGGCCCACACCACCAAAAAATGTTCTATCTGGCTCCTGACAGTGAGTTTGCTAACCCTAGCCAGGACAAAACTCTCTGGGGGTGATCCATCAGTAGTTATTTGTTGATTTTCATCCTATTTGATTCTCCTCTTTCCAGATGGTACCTCTCAGCTCCCGAATTTTAGGCGGTCATGTGACTTGCTTTGGTCCCTCAGAGGAGGGCAGAAGTAGCCTGTCATTCCCTAGTGGAAGCCCTTAGCGCTGGTCTGTGATTTGCCTTGGATCTTCCCCTGGCTCACCACACGTTCTAGCAGGTGGGTGTTCTGACAGGGGGACTGCTGAGTGAGAATGTCAAGAAACACAGCAATAGCAGAAATCGGAAGGACAAGATTCACCAAGTATTTAGGGCAAAAAGCCCAGAACCTCCCCCTTCCCCGTGAAAAAAGGCTTATTAAAATAAAATCAAAGTGGAATTATTTCTAGGAATGTCAGCATGCATCAGTGTTAGAAAACCTATTAATAGGTTTTTAAAAAGATAAACTTATGATTCCTTCCAGTGAGTCTTAACTTTCTTTATATGATGCTGTATTATTAGGTGCACACCAGTTTGGAACTGTTACATCTTCTTGGTGAATTAAAAGCTCTGATTTGATATTCCTTATTTATAGAGTATACCAAAAATATAACTTTAATAATATTTGTATATAAGCTTTAATTTTTTTTCATTATATTTGCCAGGTTTTTTCCCATCCTTTACTTTCAAATTTCCAGCATCTTCATGTTTAGATGTTTTGTGTAAATAGCATAACACTTGAATTAAAAAAAAATACAGCCTGACAATCTTTTTTTGTCTTTTAACTGGAGTTCTTGGATCTATTTACACAAATTGTAATTACTGGCAAATTTTATGCATTTCATTATCTTATTTTGGGCTTTCTATTTGTACCTCCTCCCCTATGGAAGGATTGTTTTGGGTTATTTTTCATTCTGATATTCCCCCTCTGACTTGGAAGTTATATAGACTAATTCTGTTCTCCTGGTATTTACTGTAGCTATTAATCCTGTTCAATCAAGTAATGTTATCCCTCCCTCAAATACGAAGATTTTAAAAACTTACTCTACTTGGCTGTTATTTGCCACTAAATTTAGTTTTTAATTCTACACAGTGGACACACCCACATACTTACCACTTTTCTGCCGTTTTCCCCTGCATGTCAGCCCTTCTACCTGGATCACTTTCCTTCTGCCTGAAAAAAAAAAATCCCCTCAGGATTTCATCCAATGAGGGTCTTCATTTCTATCTCATCCCCCAAAGATATTTCTGTTGGGTGAGCATTTTTGGGGTTGCTATTTTCTCCAGCACCTTGAAGATGGCGTCCCCACCCCCATCCCACCCTGCGATGTCCCGAGATCCACGTTGTGGGGCTGAGGAGCTGGCTCTTTGTCCATCATTCTCATTTTTTTGTTAACTTTGGTTTTCTGCACTTTTTTTCTGGTATTCTGTCTTACTATACATACCCTGCTGGGGACTGGCTGGCTTTCGGAGAAATTTCTGTAAGAGTAACTGTCTTTCATCAGTTCTGGAAAGTTCTCCACCATCATCCCCTTCAGAGCTTGCTGCTTCCTCCCCTGTGTCTCGTAACCTGCCTTTCCTCTTCCCGTGTTTGGGAAATTTCCTTAGCTCTGTCCCCCAGTTCACTGGTTCCTTCTTCAGCTACCTCAAACCCAGTTAGCCACGCCCAGGGTTTGAAATCTCATTTCTTTTCTTTTTAGTTGTAGTTCTATTCGATTGTTCTGCAAATAATACTGTTTCCTCCTGCTCCTTGTCCACATTTCAGGGTTAAACTACATTTGACCCAGTTTCAGGATTCCTGGGTCTGAGGATGCCACCACGTCTGCCGGCTCCCACTCACGCTGACAGGTTGTGCGTTTTGATGCACCCTCACAGTTCCTGGGACATGACTGGCGGACCTCTTTAAGGTGAGGGTTGAAGGTCCTCCCAGCAGACCTGTGGGGTCACTGCCACGCCGGACTGCCCTAAGCCATATTGTCCACTGGAGGCCTTGGGATGCCCAGGTAACGTTGGAAATGCTCTCATGTGAGGGCACTCCTGCTGGCAGCAAGTTAGAGATACCCAAGTGCCCTTTCCATTCCTGGGAAGATCTTATTTTGATTTCGGCTTCAGGCCTGAGGTCTTGACTAAACATCTCTACCATCCTGAAGGTCCACGGAAACAGAAGACCAAACGGACATTGTCTGACACAAAAGCTGCTTCCTCCTGGGGCTTCTGCCCGCACTGGTACTCTGGCCTTCTAACCATTCCTTCTTTTTGGGCTGCTGACGCACATGGATTTAGCTCATTTTTATCCAGCAATCTTAATTGGTTTTATTGAGGAATTGGCTTGGGAATCTAGTCTGCTATCTGGTCAGAAGCAGAAGTTTACAATGCTTCTTAAGTATGTGTTTTGCCCTAACCTTGTGGAGATCTGAGAACTCCCATGAGAGAGGAATATGTGAAAATGCCTGCAAATACATGAAGGAAAAAAATACAGGAGGATCTGTCTGAAGTACTAAGAAGACACACAAAGCTACACTAATGAAAACTGTGCAGAGATGGTCAGAGAAGTTGGTGACAGATTACAGTAGATTCAGAAATATATGCCCACACACAGGATCTTATTCAGGAGGAGGAGTCTGTTTCAAGTTTTCTAGGCATGAGACAACCGGTCAGCCCTGTGGGGTGGGGCGATCCCTACGTCTCGCTTCATCCCCAATATAGACCCTAGATGGATAAAAATAAAAGCTGGAGTTATAAACAGAAAGAAAAAGCCATGGGAGAATCCGTGCCAACTACAGGAAAGGCCTCTCCAAGCACAAACCTCAGACATTTAAGGACTGTGGTTTGAAAACCGTGGAAATAAAACATTGACAGCAAGACCATGTGTAAACAAAACTAAAAGGCAAATTTGGAAGAAGGCTTGCAACACAAAGCATATTAATGTTAAGATAGCAGATTCTATTTGGTTTTAAACAATTTAAAAATTATTTTTTTAAAATTATGATGTACAAGAAACAGACATATGAGTAAAAAATTGAACCAGTTCATGAAAAGCAAGTATTAGAAAACTTCCCTGGCAATGAAAGAAATGACAACAGGAGACTGACCCCATCACTTGTCACTTTGGCCAAAATGAAATATCAGGCGATGGAGCCACACACATCGACGGTGACCCACCCCAGGACCCTGGACTGAGAAGCCCATCCTTACCTGGCAACGACAGGGGAAAGGCTGAGAAAAGGTCCAGGTCCTACACGTCAGGCAGGAGGGCCCGTGGCACACACCCGGCAGGGTGAGGTCGGGACTTCTGTCCAGGGGTGCCTGGGGCTTGGTGGCCGAGGGCCCCAGCTTCCTTGGCTTCACCCACGGGCTCTCCTGACATCCACTGCCCTTTCCAACTGCCCGGCTCTCGGAGTCAAGCCCTCGCGCCTCACGTGAAGATGCCTGGAGACTGTTCAGGCGGCTCCCCGGCGAGGCAGCCGGGTCCCAGAATACAACTTTGTCCTTGGCCTGGTGACTCTGACCCTTGACTGTTATAAACTTAATTGTGCCCCCTGTAGTGTTAAGCCCCCGACAGGTGGGTTTTTTTTTTTCTTGTCACACAAGGGCCTGATATAAGCTTTGATTGGGAGGCCTCCACTTCAGAGGAATCTGCTCCCAAAGAGCTCCCTCTCCAGGGAACACAGGGCTGGCCGAGGGACCAGATAGAGTCGGGACACCTCCCCCACGGAGGCTCCCTTGGTTTGAGAGATCTTGGCTGATTTTGCTAACTGATCGTGTGGGCCACTTGTTTTCTCTTCCCATGCTTCAAATTCCTGCCCTTCTGTTTTAAAGTTTAATGAAGAGTGAGCCTGGGAAACCCTAGGCCCCCACGCTCGGCTCCAATCAAAGGAGGACCCCAGGCTCGCAGGCTGTGTCCCTCTACCTGTTACCTTGCCGTGTGGTCCCAGCTATGCTGTTTAATTTCCAGGTCTTGTAAGTAATAAATCTATTTTGTCAGGGTTTCCTGATGGTTGCTGAAGGACATCTTGCAATCATAGTAAGAACCCTAAGGGCCAGTCCGACCACAACACTGCTCATTGACGGGCTGAGACAGGCACGGAACGCCCTCTAGATCCATAGGGGGAGGCCCGAATCCCCAGTGTGGTGGTGTCTGGAGGGGGGTCCTTCGGGTGGTGCTTAGGGTTAGGTGAGGTCATGAGGTCCAAAGAGGCCCCAGTGCCCCTGTAAGAAAGGACCCAGGAGAACTTCGGCGCTCTCTTGCCACGTGAGGAGAGTCTGCAGGCAGCCACCTGCAAGCCGGGAAGTGTGCCGGAAACAGACCATACCGACCTCCTGCTCCCTGCTCCCGGACTTTCGGCCTCCAGAACTGGGAGAAATAAATGACCGCTGTTGAAGCTGCCCAGTCTGTGGTGTGCTGAACACACTAAGACACTGGCTCAGCCAGCCAAACGGAGGAGTCCATCCCACAAAATCTTACACAGGCACATAGTCATTCAGGTCACTGCTGCCAAGGAAGAGAGCGGTGTGCTGACCAGCTTAGGACATACGATAGTGTGTCAGGGTCACCAAGTCCCACACCCTGGGGGGCTTCACCCAGAAGGAGTTTATTCTCTCACTGTTCTAGGGGCCAGTAGCCTTAAGTCCAGGTGCGGGCAGGGTGAGCCCCCCAGGAAGCTCTGGGCTGAGGGAGGGGAATCCTTCCCTTGCCTCTGAGCTCCAGGGGGCCCCGGCATCCTTGGCTTGTGGCCACATCACCCTAATACCTGCCTCTGTCTTCACAGCCTGCCCCTCTCTGTGTCTCCTCTTCTGTGATAAGGTCGCTTACCACTGGATTTAGGGCCCATTTGTACACAGGTACAGGGGGCTGGGGCTTGGATGGGTTTTGGGGGGTTGTCAAATCTCACCTTGGCCACTGACTGGTTTGTGTGGGGGGTTCTGGCAGCTGCCTTCCAAGGCACCAGCTTCCCCATTATAAAACAGGCCCCTCCCGGAGGGTTGCGGTCAGCAGCCAAGCACCACTGGCCAGTGGTCATTATCTGAGAGGCATGCCCACCCCTGGGCCTGGGTTTTCCCATCTGTGACACAGAGGCCTGACCTGGGGGCTTACCAGGGATTCCACAGAAGCTACTCCCTGCAAAGTGGTGGACCATGCAGCAGCGATGACTGCCCCGGGATGCCAGGTCTCCCGCCAGAGAAAGGAACTGAGGCCACAGCCGAGTGGAGTACCTGGTTTATTTGTGATGCAGGCAAACCTCAGGATGGTGGCAGGTTCTAGGCAGAGGGGGTGGGTGGGAGTGGGGCTAGAACTCCACCTTGCAGGCAGGGAAGGCCTCATCTTGCATGGACACTGTGCTGTCACTGCCCAGCACCGTGATACCCAGAGCCTGGTGCCGGGCGTGCGTCTCCTCATACCATTCGTGCATAGCCACCGAGTCAAAGGTGGGGATCAGGGTCACCTGCGGGAGGGAGCGATGAACCAGCAGTGAGGGGGCATGCCCCCTGCCCACCATTCCTGACAGGGAGGTCCCTCTGTTTGCCCTGTCACCCTCTCACTTGGACGTCTGCAGCAGGTGGTCTGCCTGTCCCCAGAGTCCCTCCCTTACAGCACCCAAGGGCCCCCTATAGATGCCACTGCTCTGTGAGTCCCTCATCAACCCCACATCACGCTTCCGGCCGACCTGCCCACCCCTCTGCAGGCCTCCCTGGGGCTCCTTAGCTGCACCAAGCTTGCTCCCACTTCTGAGTCTTCGCTTGTGCTCTGCCCCACACCCGGGCCCCTCCCTCCCACTGCTCTGTAAGCTTCGGGAGAGCAGGGGCTGCAGGCATCCTGGGCTGGGTGCTGAACAGGTAGCTCCTTCCTCCCCAAATGTGCCTCACCCCTCAAAGCTCTGTTTCAAGGCTGCCTTTGGGAAGACCTCAGCTCTTGGGTCAATTCTAAACTGTTCTGCTTTGTAGACACCCCATGCACCACTTAACTCCTCCTGGACAATTCTCCTAGCAGGGGGGTTTGATCAAACTGGTCCCACTCACATCCTCACCCTGGCAGCTGCAAGCAGCTGAGGAAGCAGATGTCACAGAAGAGTGTCCGTGACCTTGGGCACTCCACTGGTCTCTTTGAGAGCCTCCTCTCTCCCCCCACCCCCTTAGGTAAATGAAGGTCACACAGACGTCATAGGACTGTGATAGGACTGTGGGATCAACAGGAAGACACCAGGAAGCCCTGGACTCCACCCTGTGCCAAGCCTGAGGCCTGGTCCAAAGAGGCCCCAGTGCCCCTGTAAGAAAGGACCCAGGAGAACTTCGGCGCTCTCTTGCCACGTGAGGAGAGTCTGCAGGCAGCCACCTGCAAGCCGGGAAGTGTGCCGGAAACAGACCATACCGACCTCCTGCTCCCTGCTCCCGGACTTTCGGCCTCCAGAACTGGGAGAAATAAATGACCGCTGTTGAAGCTGCCCAGTCTGTGGTGTGCTGAACACACTAAGACACTGGCTCAGCCAGCCAAACGGAGGAGTCCATCCCACAAAATCTTACACAGGCACATAGTCATTCAGGTCACTGCTGCCAAGGAAGAGAGCGGTGTGCTGACCAGCTTAGGACATACGATAGTGTGTCAGGGTCACCAAGTCCCACACCCTGGGGGGCTTCACCCAGAAGGAGTTTATTCTCTCACTGTTCTAGGGGCCAGTAGCCTTAAGTCCAGGTGCGGGCAGGGTGAGCCCCCCAGGAAGCTCTGGGCTGAGGGAGGGGAATCCTTCCCTTGCCTCTGAGCTCCAGGGGGCCCCGGCATCCTTGGCTTGTGGCCACATCACCCTAATACCTGCCTCTGTCTTCACAGCCTGCCCCTCTCTGTGTCTCCTCTTCTGTGATAAGGTCGCTTACCACTGGATTTAGGGCCCATTTGTACACAGGTACAGGGGGCTGGGGCTTGGATGGGTTTTGGGGGGTTGTCAAATCTCACCTTGGCCACTGACTGGTTTGTGTGGGGGGTTCTGGCAGCTGCCTTCCAAGGCACCAGCTTCCCCATTATAAAACAGGCCCCTCCCGGAGGGTTGCGGTCAGCAGCCAAGCACCACTGGCCAGTGGTCATTATCTGAGAGGCATGCCCACCCCTGGGCCTGGGTTTTCCCATCTGTGACACAGAGGCCTGACCTGGGGGCTTACCAGGGATTCCACAGAAGCTACTCCCTGCAAAGTGGTGGACCATGCAGCAGCGATGACTGCCCCGGGATGCCAGGTCTCCCGCCAGAGAAAGGAACTGAGGCCACAGCCGAGTGGAGTACCTGGTTTATTTGTGATGCAGGCAAACCTCAGGATGGTGGCAGGTTCTAGGCAGAGGGGGTGGGTGGGAGTGGGGCTAGAACTCCACCTTGCAGGCAGGGAAGGCCTCATCTTGCATGGACACTGTGCTGTCACTGCCCAGCACCGTGATACCCAGAGCCTGGTGCCGGGCGTGCGTCTCCTCATACCATTCGTGCATAGCCACCGAGTCAAAGGTGGGGATCAGGGTCACCTGCGGGAGGGAGCGATGAACCAGCAGTGAGGGGGCATGCCCCCTGCCCACCATTCCTGACAGGGAGGTCCCTCTGTTTGCCCTGTCACCCTCTCACTTGGACGTCTGCAGCAGGTGGTCTGCCTGTCCCCAGAGTCCCTCCCTTACAGCACCCAAGGGCCCCCTATAGATGCCACTGCTCTGTGAGTCCCTCATCAACCCCACATCACGCTTCCGGCCGACCTGCCCACCCCTCTGCAGGCCTCCCTGGGGCTCCTTAGCTGCACCAAGCTTGCTCCCACTTCTGAGTCTTCGCTTGTGCTCTGCCCCACACCCGGGCCCCTCCCTCCCACTGCTCTGTAAGCTTCGGGAGAGCAGGGGCTGCAGGCATCCTGGGCTGGGTGCTGAACAGGTAGCTCCTTCCTCCCCAAATGTGCCTCACCCCTCAAAGCTCTGTTTCAAGGCTGCCTTTGGGAAGACCTCAGCTCTTGGGTCAATTCTAAACTGTTCTGCTTTGTAGACACCCCATGCACCACTTAACTCCTCCTGGACAATTCTCCTAGCAGGGGGGTTTGATCAAACTGGTCCCACTCACATCCTCACCCTGGCAGCTGCAAGCAGCTGAGGAAGCAGATGTCACAGAAGAGTGTCCGTGACCTTGGGCACTCCACTGGTCTCTTTGAGAGCCTCCTCTCTCCCCCCACCCCCTTAGGTAAATGAAGGTCACACAGACGTCATAGGACTGTGATAGGACTGTGGGATCAACAGGAAGACACCAGGAAGCCCTGGACTCCACCCTGTGCCAAGCCTGAGGCCCAGGGGTGGTCATGCACCTGGAGGTCACGGTCCCACTGCTGCTTGCCAGCCAGCAGCGCATCCAGGACAGCCCGCATGCCCTCTTCTTTGCGCTGGTCTTGGCCACTGATGACATAGCAGAGCGCACGCACTCGCCGGAAGAACTCCTCATCCACCAGGCGGGCGCTGGCCCCACTGGGCAGGTAGGCCAGGTCGAGGTAGACAGGGGAGCCGGACGGGGCGGCTGACCCACCTGGCCGGCTGCCAGCTGACCCTTCAGACAAGAGGGACGGGGTCAGTCATGAGCTCCCAGGAACAGGAAGCGGCTCCCAGCCCTCCTGCGCCTCTACGTGGCTCCCTCCTCGGCAGGAGGCCTGACCTCACTGTTCTATGGCTGACAAACTCCCTGGCATGGGCAGTTACTCAAAGAACTCTTCAAACACCCCTCAGTGCCGGGACTGGCTGCCCCTGGACACAGATATGCCCAGGGCTGGGGGGAAGACGTGTAGGAGGGGCCAGTCAGGGAGGGCTTTCTGGAAGAGGGGGCTGTGGAGCCTGAGCTCCAAAAACAGCCAGTACCTGAAACACTCTGCTGCAGCATCCATCCATTCAATGACTCATGAGGCATTTCTCAAGCTCCCTCGGGCGCCAGGGCCTCACTGGGGACAAGACACAAACATCTTTGCCCCAAAGGGCAATGGGTACCACTGTCATCCGTGGCCCTGAACCCAGGGCCTATGAAAGAGGTTGAGGCCACCCCCGCCAGGCTAGGGAACTCACAATTAACCGATTGAGGACACAGCTGGGTCTTTGGCACAGTAAGCCTGCCAGACAGTTGGTGTCTGATAATCATAACCACCAGCTCAAAGTGTGGGCCCAGAGGGCAGACGGGGCATCTGCAGAATGAATGAAACCCGTAGCTTTGGTCAGGCAGTATCCCTCACTCATAACAGGACAGCAGCGGCAAGGACCCTGAGGTCAGCCTCAGGAAGAGGAAGGCCCCGTGGCTACGGACGGATGTACAAGGGAGACAGGAGCGCCGGAAGTGGAAGAGCAAAGAGACGGAGGGGACCATGGGCAGAGCTGCAGGACAGGAGGACAGGGTAGAGCAGGAACCAGCAAGCCACAGCCCGCAGACCAAATGTGGCCACCACCGGCTTTTATACCTGCAGTTTGCCAGAGTGCCTGTTCAGTTCCTTATTGAGCTGCTTTTGCACTATAGGAAGTTTCGATGGACAGACTACCTGGCCTGCAAAGCTGGAAATGTTTACTCTCTGGTCTTTGAAGACACACAGTTTGCTGACACCAGCACAGAAGGTCAGCTTACTGGAGGCAGTGGGAACAGGAAGCCCTGAGTGGACAAGAATGTGGTCTCCAGGAAGAGGCCAAACACCCCAGCAGACGGGGAAAGCCGACAACCCCCTGCCTCCAGGTGCCGGATTTACTCACAGGCCCGGGGTGGCCACCCTCCCCCTGCCACTGTGCTGGTAACTCCTGACCTGTTAAAGGAATCTGCCTAATGAGGACAAGCAGCGGCAGCTCAGGCAGGCACGGAGGCCAGGAGAAAGTCAAGAGACCGTGGGGGAAAGGAGCCGAGGACAGGCCATGTGGGGAGAGAAGCTGGACACAGCGGTCACCCCTGGGAGGGCAGGACCAGCCAGGTACTTGGGAGAGGTGAGCACGTGCTCAGTGAACAAGAGCTACAGGTGGTAATGCCATCATCACCACTGCTCTCTGCCGCCGTCCCCGGGTAGTTCTAGGTCTGCCCCATGCAGTGGCCACTGAGCGCTGGGACATGGCAGGTGCGAGACGAGTGTGGACAGCAAAACACGTGCAGGCACCCAAGGCTCAGGGTGGAAAAGGGGACTATCTAGTAAGTTTTTATATTAATTACACATTGCAGTATTTTGAAATAGCATGCAGTAAAGACTGGATGCAGCAGAGGATGCTGGGATGATGGTACAGTGGGCGGCACAAGGAACCTGTCTCCCGGCCAGAGGGCAACCGTGCTGGCAGCCCCTCCCCATCAGGCTGAAGTGATTAAGGAGAGAGTTACAGGGTGGAACACTTCTTCTCCCTGACCCTCCTGTCTTTTTGCCCTTCTGGGAGCCAGGCATTCAAGGACTAGGATTCCAAAGCAAGCACACATAAGGGGGAACTTGGGTGAGTCACCCACATGGTGGGTGCAGGGAAAGGTGCAGGCTCATACCGGACCCAGGACACCTGAAGTTTACACCTCACTAGGATCCCAGGCACACAACAATTAACCACCACCAAACAAACAAGTTATGCAAACCTACCCTAGGCAAGGGGAGATTTGGATCACCAGGGCTTCTTCCATTATTAAATTCAAACATCTAGTTTTCAACTAAACCCGCCTCAACCCCAAAAGACAAAAACAAAGAATAACAAAGCCACAAGGCCTACAAAGAAACAGGCAGTGTGGCCCATTCAAAGGAAAAAAAAAAAATTAACAGAAACCATCCCTGAGGAAGACCAAATGGTGGGCTTAAAAAGACTCAAAGAAATCAAGGGAGACGTGGTAAAGGCCAAGAAAATGGTCTATGAACAAATGAGAAATATCAAGAAGGAGACAGAAAACACAAGAATAAACCAAAAAGGAATTCAACAGCTAAAAAGTACAATAACTAGTTCACCAAAGGAACTGAAGATTTGCACGGGCAGAAGAATCAGCGACCTTGATGATAGGGCAATGGAAACTATCACGTCTAAGGAACAGAAAGGAAAAAGGCTGGAGGGAGTTAACAGTCTAAGGGGCAGGGGGACTCCATCGAGGGGACCCGTGTGCACATGGGGATGTGGGGAGTCCCACAAAGAGGCGAGAGAGGGGCAGAAAGATATATAAAGACATAACGGCCCCAAACTTCCCATATTTGATAACATATTTGTTTATATGTTAATATAAACGTCCAAGAAACTCAACCAACTTCCACAGAGGA